GGGTGTTCCTCCTCCATTACAAATATGGATTTCTGTGTGCAGATGTAGACACAAAGGTCATGAAAAAACAAGTATATGTTTCCAATTCAGTGCCAAATTTATAAAAGAAATTCACTGAGCCTTGTGGAATTAAACCTCTTCCTTCCTCACTCAAATTGGTAAAATCCTGAAAAGTTAGAAAGGGCCCAAGGCTGGAGACTTTTTTTCTACAAATCCAATTGGCCTCATTGCAAATACCTATAGTTTAATGGAGGAAAGGGTGAAGGATATGTGATAGATAGGATATAAAATATGTATGATATATTTGATAGAAAGCCATCAAACCAAACTGGAAAATATATTCTTTCTGTTGTCAGACTTCCTCTGTCAGTTTTGTTTCTGAACTAAAAGTCATCACCATTTAAAGAACTAACTCAGAAACAAAGCAGAGGAAAGACTGGCCAGGATGCTGGTAGATATCCACACAGGTTGTTGGATTGCTGCAGTTTCATTTACCATTAGTGAACTAAACTCAGTGAGGTTTTAGAAAGTAACCATAATTGGGAAAATGACAAGAAGAACAAGTGTAACAACAGACAGTAGTTGCTTTGTAACCACATGCAAAGGGTAGATGTTTAGAAGTGAAAGGTGTGCATGTGCCATGGGAGAGGGACCAATGAAAGAGGCTTTGCACAGCCTCACCCCAGCCTAGGACATGGGTTGTACACATACCCAGGTAGTCAAACACTGATGGTCCTAAGATGAACACATATTTGAAGTGATTTTGCATAGTTACGCCTTTGAGTTTACAAAACATAATCATTCATCTAGAATACATGTATTTTCAATATTTATTATGAAATTATTAACAGGATAACTAGAAAGCGAGTATTTGGGTCATTTCTTAGTAGAAAAAAGTGCAGCCAACACCAGGAAGGGCATGGGAGTCCAGAAGAGAGTCTGCCAAGCCATACACCTTGCTCATTCACTTTGTGTACCTGCTCATTTCTTTCATTTTACTTCCATTCTCCTTGCATGGTAAGAAGTAGAGAAATTAAAGGATGGAGAAAGGATTGCATTTAATATTCATGGGTTTTGTCAAAACTTTCTCAAGCAAAGAGAATGGCAAAGACAATCCTTCCTTTATCTTACATCTTTGTCTGCTTGCTAATTCTGGCTTGTTTACTCCTTATAGAATCTAGTGTGTCTGATAATTCATCTCAGTTTCTTAAGAGGATATCCAGACCACCACATCAGAGCAGAACATAATGAAAGGCTCCTTTACTGAGTAGCAGTACCTCTTCCCCAAGCAAACCATTTCTCCAGATGAAAGACTGTGGAAATACACCGAAGGCATCAGCAAACCTCTAGGCCCTATCATTCTCTTTCATATATTTAGAAAGCTATTAAAATGACTCAAAGCATGAGTAATTGGCATTGAAATTCCAGTTCACTTCAGGGGAAGGGTGTATAGACCTCATAAGAAAAATTTAATATCAGTGCTTCCATAAAATGCCAATTGAAAAATCTTTATAATATTTGCTTTGTTTTATTTAATTGACAAGTAATATTTCATGTATTAACCCTGTGTTAATCTCATATGATACTGTGATAAACATGTACATTGCAGGATTGAAATTTTTGCATATCTTCCACTCACTTTTCCATTTATGATAAATACTATTCAAATTTTATTGCACAAGCACCTCATTACAGGGGAGGAAATAATTTTTTTAACTGAAATAAACTATGCATTCAAAGTGAGCAAATAAGTTTAAAGAAAATGCCAAGAGTGGAATGGGTCAGAAAGCTGCCTAAAGGTACTCTCTCCAGAGTGTGGCTAATGGCATGGTATGCCTTTAAAAAATCATTTTCTGCTTTTGTGGAAATCTTTCCATTTATCACAACATCAAAATTATTTCAATATCTTGAACATTAATGTAAATGAGTTTAAAAGCTATTATAATTTGATTTCCATAGCATTTGCTTCTTTTGAAACTACCTGCTTTAAGTTTGTCAGGTATATGGTCTTTACTGAATCCCATTGACTTATCTCAAGCTAATTGGCTGTCTCTACCCTCCTATATTAAAGTGCTTGAAGGAAGTAATAGCTCTAAAACAACTCAGGGTGGCCTTCAGGATGGAGGTTTCTGTCCCATCTAGTCCCACAGTTGTTCAGATCCAAATACACACAAGAGGCCTTTATTAATTACAAACTGTTTGGCTTTCTGCTCATGCTTATTATAAACTAGGTCTTACAACTTAAATTAACCTATAATTCTAATCTATGTTTAGCCACATGTCTTTGTACCTTCTCTCAGTAAGGTATTCTCATCTTGCTTCCTCTGCGTCTGGCTTGGACTGCATCTTTCCTTTCCTCTTCCCAGAATTCTAGTCTGGTTACCCTGCCTATACTTCCTACCTGGATACTATTCAATCAGCATTTTTTAAACCAATGTGAGTGACAAATCTTCACAGTGTTCAAGAGCATTATCCCACAGCACCTTGCATCTGAAATGCACCAATTGCTCTGCAAGTTCCGCAGAATGTGCCAAGTGTCCAAAGTGGAACTCAGGAAACAGACTCAGCTGGTTGGTCCTGGTGATGCCCATGAAATAATATAAAGGTTCAGCTCCCTGCTGTTCACGGAGACCAAAACAGCCTTGGAACATTGAATTAAGGCCCTATACCAGAGGCTCTAGAATACCAAATCCCACAGAATTGAGCTGGTTGGTGCTGAATGACTTAGATTTTTAACCATGCTTGGCTGAAAGCCTCTAAGCACAAACTGAAATTTTAAAGGAGAGTGTACTATCTTCTGCAAATAAAAAGTCCAGGGAAGCCCTTGCTTCAAGTATTGCAGTCCCTTGTGCTCTTTAAAATCCTCAGGCAGGGGGCTTTGAAACCCCATTTTCAAGTGAGTTTTCCCAACAACTATAGGCGATAAAAATCATCAGGTTTGATGCCCTATTTAAAAATCCTCCCGCGAGCGAAAAACCTCTAGTTTTTTAATTAGCTCATTTCCAATGTTTATGGAAAAATAACTCAGACCAGATAATGTATAAAACGGAAGAGGTTTATATAAGTCACAACTTTAGAAGCTAAAATTCCAAACAACATGGCGCCAGCTGTGGTGAGAGAGCCCTTCTTTGAATCACACCATTCATATCATGGCTGATGTCATGACAGGCATTCATGCTAGCAAAAGGTACGAAATGTCTGGAGGAAGCTCAGAATGCTGCTGGGCATTGCTCATTCTTGCCCTTTTATAGCATTCTTCACTCAAGTAACAACCAGGGTTGGAATGACTAGGCCAATTCATTTTGAGGACAAAATCCTGAATCAATTGCCTAAAGATCTCCTGCTACTCTTGTCTCTTAAAAGACCCCTCATTAATAACGAAGTGAATATTAATATATTCACATTGTGAATATGTGAACCATGTAAAAAAAGTCAAACCATAGTGACTCCACTGAAGCCAGAAGTCATATCTATTTCCTACGATCTCCATCTCTTAACATCTTTGTGGCCTGAACCAATAGCAGAGCCTAGGGCACAGCTCACAGACAGAGAATGGGAAGGAAGTCATTCTCTAGCATAATTCTGGGGATACTATTAAAGAATTTGAGCGCATAAATATTAACTGGGGAAAGCAATAAGTGGTATCTATGTACAGGATGTATTCTATCATCAATCTAATTTATTATTACAAATGCTTCTGCGTATCATCCATACCTCATCATTCAACTCTCTGTTTGCATGCAAGACAAACAACACTCCTAGCTATTTAGCCAAGAGAGGAAGTGCATTCTATTTTTAACTGAGTGCTCACAGTAGATTAATATACCACAGCCAAAAACTATATGTCAGTCACTTCCTATTGACAAATTAATGGATTAGGGAGTTGGGGTATAGTCACACAATGACAAACTTCTTAGCAATATAAAGGAAAAGACTTTTGATGCATACAGCCAAAAACTGATTTTGATGACAGTGATTTCACAGATATACATATGTCAAAACTTGCCCAATTGCATTCACTATGTATAATTTCTTACATATCAATGACAGTTCAATAAAGATCTTAAAAATAAAGCCAAAAATGTCTTAAATTTCAATCACCACTGGGTGAGGGCTTATTCATCATCACATACACTTTCCTTACCTCCTGGCCTCTGTATTATTTCCCCCTCATGCTCACTGCCATTTCCTGGTAGAATATTACTCTTCAGAATGCCAAATACATTCATTGAACCATTTCAACTCTATGCCTTGAGTAGAGTTCTTGTTCTCCTTCTAGCATGGTCTACTTTTATCATCACATTCTTCTTTGAACTTAAAGACAAAATATGGGCTTCTGGAATGCTTTCCACCTTACTTGTCCCTCACCTGCTCTATTTACCAATGATCATTTCCATGCCCCATATCAGCCAGTACAGGGATGTATCTATGATATGTATCTATGCACATGCAGAGGTACACATGTCCTTGTACCACAATAGTGTTCAATAATTTTAAATCTCTTCATATAGTTGAAATATTCTCTTATATGCAGAGTATAATTATCCACTCTCTTGTGGTTCCCCCTGCCAATAGCACCAATCACAGCAATTACTACATTGAAGACAAGGAAATGGGCTAAGTATAGCAGTGCACAGAACCTGAAAGTTAGAGGTAGGAGGTTCATGAGGTCATGATAATGAGCTCAACTAGCCATGCTGTATTAGCAGATTCAAGGCCAGTCTGGGGTACATGAGACTGTCTCAAGTAAATAAACAACACTTAAAATTGTCATGTTTTCTATTGTAATAACTATTTTATAGAAAAGAAAAGTTGCAATTAGGGAAATAACTATTTATCTCATGGGAACTCATTGATAAAAAAAATCAAGTGTTACTTTGACATAGTCCTGGGTCTACTCTTAGGGTCTTCCATTAACAACTGATGTTTTCTTAAGGGAATGACACCAGTCTTTCAGGTGGTGTCTTTCATAATCCCTCCACTGTTCTCCTGTTTCCTAGATACACCAAGATGAAGACTGCCACCAACATCTACATCTTCAACCTTGCTCTGGCAGATGCCTTGGCAACCAGTACACTGCCCTTTCAGAGTGTCAACTACCTGATGGGAACGTGGCCCTTCGGAACCATCCTCTGCAAGATCGTCATCTCAATAGATTACTACAACATGTTCACCAGCATATTCACCCTCTGCACCATGAGCGTGGACCGCTACATTGCTGTCTGCCACCCGGTCAAGGCTCTGGATTTCCGTACCCCCCGAAATGCCAAAATTGTCAATGTCTGCAACTGGCTCCTCTCTTCTGCCATTGGTCTGCCTGTCATGTTCATGGCAACCACAAAATACAGGCAGGGTAAGGGTGAACATGGGCATGAGCCAAGTCTAGTCTGATGTGTTGGTGATATCCTGAGCCAAGTAGAATTTACGGCACAGTGTCTTTGCCGAACTGTACTTTCAATTAAGAAATTGGTTAATTAATTAACTATAATAATAAAATTATAAGAAAAGCTAAAATAATAAAAATAATAAAATGCCTTTAAATATATTAAAACAGGAAGATTTCTCTATAATTACAGACCTTCTAGGTATTTTAATAAGAACAAAGTCTACGTATTGCTGATTTCTCTGAACTTACTTCAACAAAATGTTGAATACATGGGAACATAGCTTTTCCAAACATAATTTAAGCTTAAGTCCAGAGAACATTTCACTGAGGCTTGCTCTAAATTCTCAAGCAGCTGACAAATTTACCTGTCCTGATTTAACAGCAACTGCCATTCTGAAGTGGAGGGGAGACATTCGTTAGCAGGAAACTCCCGGGAACCTGGGACGATGGTTATAGCTTTTATAACAGCATAAATCTCACAAGTGTCTGATTCATCGCAAAATGTGCATAACTCTCGCTTCATAAAATCTTAATGTGATACACGTGGACAGAAAAGTGGGAAATGTAGGAAGGGGAGAAAAGGAAGTAAATTCTCTGTAATCAATAAATGAATTTCCTTCTTCGTTTCATTCTTTCCTCACACGTCTGTGTAAGCAACAACCTTCACTTAGCTCAGGTCAAAGCTATTAGTAGACCAAGGAGCAGCTTCGGTACTTAATGCTATAACTAAATGTCGCTGCTAATTTTCCTTGAAAATTCTTTTCTTCCAGGGTCCATAGATTGCACCCTCACGTTCTCGCATCCCACCTGGTACTGGGAGAACCTGCTCAAAATCTGCGTTTTCATCTTTGCCTTCATCATGCCGGTCCTCATTATCACCGTGTGTTACGGACTGATGATCTTACGGCTCAAGAGCGTGCGCATGCTGTCGGGCTCCAAGGAAAAGGACAGGAACCTGCGCAGGATCACCAGGATGGTGCTGGTGGTCGTGGCTGTGTTCATCGTCTGCTGGACCCCCATCCACATCTACGTCATCATCAAAGCCCTGATCACGATTCCAGAGACTACCTTCCAGACGGTTTCCTGGCACTTCTGCATCGCCCTGGGTTACACAAACAGCTGCCTGAACCCTGTTCTTTATGCGTTCCTGGATGAAAACTTCAAGCGCTGCTTTAGAGAATTCTGCATCCCAACCTCCTCAACGATCGAACAGCAGAACTCCACTCGAGTCCGTCAGAACACTAGAGACCACCCCTCCACAGCTAACACAGTGGATCGAACTAACCATCAGGTACATGCTTTCTAGAATTACGTATAGCTTATTAAAAAAAATATATCACCTGGTAGAAATCCAATATTTAAAACCTTTAGGAAATCAGTTACTGGGAAATTGAGGCCAGGCCCAAGAAGAGAGGGAGGAGGACCAAGTTCTCATCATGATGTCAGAAAGATGTGTCATATAAATGTGCTCGATATATTTGAACATGTTTATTTAGGTATCAAAATATGATGACCGACCATCTATCAAGCTGCGAAAAGTTACTATCCTCCTAGCCTTGTCTTTGCAAAATTAGTGGCTGTAGTCCATCATAGATGTAATTCTACTTTAGAGTACTTGTTTCACGCAGAAACTTTCTATATCCCAACAATATCACACTAATATCTCTGCCACTTAAAAGTCAACTACACTCCAATTCTGTTGTTAAAGAGCCTTGTCTGCTGTGGTTATAAATACAAGATATTCCCCAAAATCAATGTCATGGAAAAGGAGAAAAGGGAAAAACAAACCAAAGTATACCCATCTCTGTATTTGTTAAGAGTTTGGTTTGTAATAACTGGTGTCTGACTAGAGCAAATACCAGAATATTGCTAACTATTATGTTAAAATCTATTTAAAACACTGTCCATACTATTTGGAAATTATTTAAGAGTGACTATCTGTTTGGACATGTGTTCCTTCCTATGTCCAGGAGAGTCCCAGGAAGATCCAAGATTTATCCATGATATTATAACCATACAAGAAATGAAGAAGTCATCTCCAATACTCTCAAAACTTCCTAACTCACCACTTTGCAATAATTTGACATCTAACCTAAAATGTCAGTACACGTATGACTTAATTATCAATAAATTTTAAATAAATAAGTGTTCCAAAATGCTTCCCGCACCTGAAAAAAAAATCACAGCATATAAAATTTTATAACACGGAACTGGAGTTCAAGACTCCTGTGAAATAAATGCTTGGGTCAAAATTTTGGGTCAAGTTTATTTTCTCAAGGGGCAGGGCTATGAGGACAGCACCTTTATACAAACGACTTCAGAGTCCAGCAGAGGAGCAGCCAGAGGAAAGCCTTGACCATCACAGTGGTAGTTGTTCCCACTTGCTGTCTCTTCTTCATACCCATCTCTCCATGTCCCTTTTCACCCCCAACTGCGACTACCCAGCCTAGCCAAGGCTCCATTTTCTAACAATGTCATAGTTATGTAATACAGCCTAGTTGAATTTGCCTCAGGAGACATGGAATCCTCATACCTATATGAGACACATGGCTAACATAAAACATGTGAGCCAGTTCCCCTGGAGAGCATGTGGTAATGGTGGCGGATTCATTCCCGTTGCAAAAGCAAGTATTAACAAATTTATCTCCCTGTTTCCAGCTCAACAATCAAAGCCATAAAGAAATGGGTTTCTGCTCTGCTTCCCCACCTCCCCACATCTCCCTCTCATTGTTATCCACACTGACATATAACCTGTTTCTTTTTCTAAGCAGTCCTTCATGTTTCATGGCTTTCAAACTCTTGTGGGTCACTTTAAAAGGGTTAAGGATTTAAAATGATTTTTTTTTCTCCAACCCATGGGTAGCCTATTAGAGGACAGAATTTGAAACTACCTGTCCCAAGCTAGGATTCAAATCCTTTGCATTGAAACAGTTTACTTTCATTACAGAAAAGGATGGAAATAGGGAAGCTTGAGCTCTTCCTCCCTTCCCCAAGTGGGGTCTTTCCTCCCAATCTTACAGGGGCGTGGCTGATTGGTAGCTTCCTGTAGGACCCTGCCTGATCTACCCTGTCCTTCCTCTAATGGAAGCATAGCCCCCAATCTTTCCAGTTTAGCCCCTACCTGACTTAAACAAGACTGCCATTCAGCTTCTCCAAGACTGCCTTTGACTCCCTTCCAAACCCAGTGTTTGCACATCAGAGTGGTTCTTGCACAGCCAGAGAGTAGAAGGGAAGCTAATTGGAGGAGTTCTGTGCTAAGTAACTAAAAGGTTTGCTTAGAAATACATCCAATTAGCACTTATCGTTATTACTGCCTCTGTGGGGCGGCGTCAGCATCAGATAACAGGGAAGCACATTAGCCTGGAACGGGCTGCTTCCCAGAGGCCCAGCTGGGAGAGCTGGACCAAGAAGAGAAGCTGCAAGGAGCAGAAAAGATGCTCTGACGTATTTGAAAATTAACAGAAATCAAAGCTGTTTTTTCATCCATCTCTCCCAGTATGTCTTTCTTTAGGGTTAAGGCAGTCATGCGAAGATGTCTGGGATGATAGGAAATCCTATGGTGGATATTTTCAGGCAGACATTCCAATCAGATCTGAAGGAGGTCTGACTATATGAATCATTAGATTAGCTCAAACAGAGTCCAAATCGGACGAACAGGTATTCATCAGATCTGTTGTGAGGAGGATGCTAGCTTGTTTCCCAGCCACCCGGCAGCTCAGACCCAAAATAATCACACAGAAACTATTTAAAACACTGCTTGGCTCATTGGCTCTATCATCTTATTGGCTAGCACTTATATCTTAACCCATTTCTAGTGACCTGTGTATCGCCACATGGCTGTGGCTTACCAGGTAAAATTCCCAGTGTCTGTCTCTGGCAAGGCTACCTGGCTTCTCTCTCTCCACCTTTCTTTTCCCAGCATTCAGTTTAGTTTTTCCCGCATAGCTAACTAAGTTCTTCCCTGCTATAGGTCCAAAGCAGTTCTTTATTAGCCAATGGTATTCCCAGCATACAGAGGGGAATCCCACATCAGTGTTACTGTGAGTTTTGGGTTTATTTGTTCATTTGTTTAAAATAGCTATCTTGTTGGGAAACAAGACTAACTGGATTGGTGTTAACTTTTTAGTTAGAAGTATGAATAGTTTGTCATGGTGATCAATGTTTATGTTCTGTCTGTTTGTGTTTTCTCCAAAAAAATGTGTATTATATTCCACGTGTCACACGTCAAGCACATTAGTCAACTTCCCATTCTGCAGACCAGAGATCCAATGTCAAACCTCCCGAGAGTGTCTGTATTTTGACAGCTATCACTGAGGCCATGTCCACACAGCACAAAGTGAAGTGACGATGTGGCAGTTACCAAGGTAATTTGATAAGCCATACAAGAAATTTCTATGCCTGGCATAAATTTGGAGTCGCATGTTCTAGCTGAAGGTATCTAATTAAGTTTTTCTTGTACAGAAAAATATTCCCAAACCTAGAGTCTAAAAGCAGCCATCTACACAGACTACAATTGTGTCATAAATGAGTACTTTGGGCCAGGCTTGTCAGTTTTAGCTGTTGTCACTCAAGCCAGTCCCTGTTGGGGCTATCAGTCCTGTCATCTAAGACAGCCACAAGAGGAGTGGCTGGATCCATAGACTCATCCTCTAGAATGTTGTCTTAAGCTTGTATTCATCATGGCCACAGGTTCTGAGGAAGAGAAAAGCTAACAGACTTCTTCAGGTCTGGTGACAGAAATAAAGTGTCCTGGGAAGATGACTCAGTGGCAAAAGTACTTGCTACACAGGCATGAGGACCAGAGTTTAGATACTCAGAAGCCATATGAATACTGAGGGGCAGGGGGCAACAGCCTGCCTGTGGTTGCAACCCTCAGAAAGCATGAGATGGATATCCCTAGAGAAAGCTGGCTAGAGAAACCAGCTGTGTTAGTGAGCTCTTGGCTCAATCAAGAGAGCCTACCTCAATTATCATATAGAAAGTAATCAACCTCAGGCCTCTGCATGCATGCATACCCACCCACACTTACATAACTCTTAAAGTAAATGATAAAGTTACATCCATGCTTTCTATCAACCTAGATTTGGATGGGTGGGAGGGAAAGGGTCTAGCTCCTGAAGACAGGAAGTCTGGTCATCTTGTGAGAAGATGGAGAGAGGGAAGAGGGAAGGTCACTGTGGTCACAGTTGTTCAGGCCATAGTAAACAGCCACCCCATTGCTTCTGACAGCAGGAACACATCCATCTTGCTTCTTCTTGTACCTCTGGAATCTATGTAGCCCAGTCCCTGAAACATTAAAAAACACTCCACAGATATCTACAGAATGGCTGAATAAGGGGAGAGTTGTATTTTATACAGAGAAGAATTTGGAAGACCTCTTTCTTATATAACCAACTGTAACTCAAAATGATACCATAACACTGAGATTTGGGGTCTGCTCTTCAGAAACAATGATCAGTAGGCATTCTCCACCTCAGCCCACAGTATTCTAAACATAAGTTAGACTTTTCAACTTGTCTTCTACATTAATTTTTAACAAGATGCTTTAAAAGACCAAGACTTGGACTCACTGCCCTGAAGAAGTCTTGTTGTCACTGAGAATGGGGAGAGGGTAATGTTCTCCTCTGGACTTTGTTCATCCCAGGCTCAGCATCCTGGTCCCTCTGCAGCACCCATGGTGGCTTTATGTTCAGTGTGTCGCCTTTACGGCTTTTTTATCTTGATTAGGTGGAGCCCAATGAAAGCATTTATGTTCCATCTGTTCCTGTTACAATTGAGTTTCCCCACCCACGTAGCATCCTGCTGTCCTGCTGAACTGGATAGAACACTTGCCACTATGGACTGCAAGTAACATGAGTCTCGTTCAGACCTGAAATGTCACTATTCACTCAGGGCTTTTCCTGCCTGATTTCTACCCAACCTCACCCTTCAAGGCACTTTATACTTGATACATGGGTGATTTTGAAAATGTTTAACATCATACAAGGCAAGGGGGTGACTCTGTTAGGTCAACATGGCTATTATTTAAATACAACAACTATAACCATAGAAGAATGCTATGATACTTTCCTATACCAACATACAAATTAAAAGATGATCGTGTGTGGTCCAGCACATCTCTTTGCCATAGCACCTCTGACAGAGAAAAAAGGAGAGGACAAATGCTCGTGGACATTAAATACAACACCCGATAATCAGTAATATGTGCGCTCTAGACAAGAACCACGGTTTTTAAGAATAATTGAGAACTGTTCTCTTCTGCCCCTTTCACCCCAATATTATGCCTCTTTC